GTAACAGATTGAATAGTCCCGCTTAAATGATACTAGTCTAGTTAGTTAAGCTACCTGCCTGTAAATGAATGAATGCTGGAGTAGCAAAGACACATTTGCTTGTAGCTTTTTTCTTGCGTTCTATCCATTTACCAGATAAGTCTTAATTAGACTTTATGTTTAGTCTAGTCAAGCAATAACCCAAAAGAGGGAGAGATACTTTATGTCAGCAGGGCTGTGATAATATTATAGGCACAAGGCGGCATGCCACAAGAACAAGAGGTTTTACACCTTATACACAGTTGACCTTAATATTTTCAAACTTCAAATCCTTGCTCCTAATTTGTCTCTGCAGCAACCAATCCATTGACCAGTGTTGTCTGGTGACAAAGGAGAATGGTGCGCGGAGATTTAATGAAGGTTTAATGAAGGCTTTGGGAGGATGATAAGATGACAGAGGGATAAGTTAACGGTGCTGCTTGAGATCAGACTTTGATATTGTGATGTCATCATGACTCAGCAACCAGACAGGCAGCACCAGCAGGAGTGATGATGATTTCACCCATGTGAGCTGAAGAGCAGTGCCAGCGTGTGTGTGTGTGTGTGTGTGTGTGTGTGTGTGTGTGTGTGTGTGTGTGTGTGTGTGTGTGTGTGTGTGTGTGTGTGTGTGTGTGTGTGTGTGTGTGTGTGTGTGTGTGTGTGTGTGTGTGTGTGTGAAAGAAATGGTCCAACCCTCAGGTTCCCAGGCTCAGAGAGTAAATTGTATCTGCATGCAAGATAACTATGCGACAAAATTACAGAATGCAGAAACAGGAATGCTAGGCAAACACAGAAGATACACAGCTAAAATACATTTCTATTACTGTGGCAGCACCTTGGAGGGTTTGGTGTGTGGCCTCCTTTGAGAGAATGCATTTATTCTGACCTATATGCAAAGTCCTGTGTGCATCCTATCCATCCCCAGTGCACCCGCCCTCTGTGGGGATGGCGCGAGGCAGAGAGCGTGACTAGCAGCGTGACAACAACAACAACGTGTGTGTCGGCCCGAAGGAGGGGGATCAAGCCGATCTGAATCAGGGGTGCTGCTGTTAGTGTTGGAGGGGGTACAAAGACGAGTGTGGAAACTGCGCCTCTGCAGCTGTGAGCCTACGTGAGCCTCGGCAGGAACGCTTTCGCTCCTAGTCTCAACCCCCCTCCCCTACTGGTTCCCCAACTCTCATCTCCAACTCTCTCCCCTTCATTTGCACCTAATAGACTTTTGAAAGCACTCCCTTCCCTCTTTCTCTCTCTTTTTCTCTATGAAAACTCCCTCAGTCCTATCCCACGTCATACTCCCAAACAGCGGGGACCTTGACAGTGAAAGATGTGTCGTGTTCGGGCAGCCAACGGATATCTGAGACGACTGAAAGGGAAAGAAAGGAAGCAAAGATAATCTTTCCCACACACACACACCACATCTGATCTGGCCTGAAATGACCTAGAAGGGATATGTGTGTCTGTGTGTGTTTCCCTGAGCCAATTTACTCATGTCATAGGTACGCACATGCGGTAAAATGCATGCCAATGCACACACACTCATGTGACTCCTTCAGTATCTCGAGACTGCCTGTAAACACACGGCTTTAAGACCAAGGTCAGAGGTGATACAATATGCACAGGATTTAGCACAATGAGGAGGAGAGACGGCAGGAATGAAGATTAGGAGGAGAATGAATACAATGAAGAAATGAATACAATGAAGAAATGAATACAATGAAGAAATGAATACATGACTGATAAAGAACAGGAGAGGAAGGAAGAGCCAAATTAGGTATAAAAATAGGAAACACATTGTTGTGCATGTGCAAACCAGAGTGATGCCAGGGGAGAGTTTATCATAACAGAGATAAGGACTGAGCTGAAGCGGCTGACTGTCCTTGTGCTCTTCAGCAGGTGCATTTCTTGGCAGTGGATGGGAGTGGAAGGCCTTTTCTTTTTCATGCAGCCTGAAGAGCAGCGCTGACCTCTACTGGCTCCATGTGGATGTGTACATGTTAGCTAAAGGCCTTGTCCTCTTTTTTAGTCTTTATGTCCTGTACATTATGCAAAGTAATATGCGAGTTTGTACAAAATTATTATGCAAAACACATAACTAGCGACTGCTTAAATAGCACCATGCCTTACGGTAATAAAGTGAAGATTTTGACTGCATGTATTTTAAACCAGGAAATTCACAGGTTGTTCCCAGGGTAAATTCAAGTACCAATGAACACAATATGTATATCTATTTCGGGTGAACAATTGTATTTAAATTAATAATCCTAATTATTTTTGATCAATATTGACATGACAATTATCTGTCACTCACGATTATTCATTGATTTTAGGCGCAGAAATATATTATCGCTTTTCAAATTTAAATAAACTGACAAGTTTGCTTCCCGGCAAAAAAAAACAACTTACATCTATATATTTCGAGAATGTCATCTCTTTTTTATCCCACTCGACATGTGTGGAATTGTCATATAATTTGTTGAGTTATGGCCAAAAACTTGTTTTGTGAGGTCACAGCGACCATGACATTTGGCCAACAAATTCTCATCATGTTATCCTTGACTCCAAGTGGATGTTCGTGCATATATTGCTTTAAAAACTAAAAAAGACTATTGTCTAAAGTTCTCTTTGTAATAGTCACCGTTCTCATCTTAACTTGGTGTGAGACTGGTATGCAGAACAGTAGGCCATGTGTCTTGTGTGTATCTGTGTACAGTGGAATCCTACCACATTTGACGTAGGTTTCCTTTCATTCACAGCATTCTTACTGCAGGCAAAAGGTTATGTAATTTGTGGGATGGCCTCATCAGGGACTGGAAAAGGCTCTCTGGAATCGTCTCTTGAATCCTCTTTATCTCCCATGATGATGAGATCTATTTAGAAGAAGTCCCATCCTAGACATTAGGCGCATTCACACCGCAGTACTTTTCCCACAAAGGTTCATGAGAACTCTTTAGTTCTCATGAACTAAGTACAGATCGCGTTCACACCGGAATAAATCCCTGGGGGTGGATTAATGAAGCCGCTGACGTCACTTCTTCTTCTTCTGCTTTGGGTTTACTGGCAGGCCGCAAACCACTTCACGGCGTATACTGCCGCCCAAAGTCCCCGGAGTTGGGGACTGGCTTCAGTAGAAGCTGCTGGGACTCCCAGCAGCTTCTACTGAAGCCTTCCGAGTAAATCGCCAGAACGCCGACACCTCCTCATCTCCACCGCTCCCATGTTTTATTTTGTGTTGCCATAAATTAGTCTCTCTGCGTTTCTGCGCTGGGCTAATGCTAATAATGCTAATGCGAGGATAATAAAAATGCGGCTTCACAACACTTTTTGGGAGTTTTACGGGGCGTGGTTTGCATTCCGCCCAGCCAATCAGACACAGGAACCTTTTTCTCCCACGAAAGTCCCTGCTCTCTAGCAGGGACGGAAAAGGGGGTGAAAAGGTTCTCATGAACTAATTCAAGTTACGGCTCTTTTTGTATATATAAAGGTGTGAACGCGACAAAAGAGTTCTCATGAACTAAGTTCTCATGAACCTTTGTGGGAAAAGTACTGCGGTGTGAATGCGCCTATAGTTAGGTTTATTAAATGAACTTATTTCACACATTTCTGCAGTACAACATTGACAGTTCACTTTGACTCATAAGTAAGACAATTAGGTCAGAGCTAGTTCAGTAAAAAAATATTGCAGTTTCACTACTTTTAAATATGAATCACTTGCATTCACTGAATGCAAACTGTAAAAATACGAGCGCTCAAAGGTAATTTAGCTTGAAAATTAACTTTACATCTTAGCCCGCAGCTAAAATGCGGCAATAACACAAAGATAAAAGACTGCATGAGAACCAAAAAATGTGCAAATCCTGTTTGTTCGTTTGTCGCATAATTATATGGGAATTACGTGTTGCTAAATAGCGTTGCAGCTAGCGGACTTTTTGATGGTTAACACGTCTTACCCATAGGTCTTACCATATGTTAATGCCGGTAGATTCTCTAGCTAGCTGTACGTTAAGACATGCTAGATGCATGCTAAGTTTTATTTGTATTTATTGCACAATCAAAAAGGCACGTCATGTGAAAGAGAACATTCAATACTCACCGGTTGCAACATCTGGGAGGAAAATGGTTCCCTATTAATCCACACATTTCAATTGTTGAGATTAACAATGAGCATTGAAAACATTAACTCAAAAAGTGTTCACACAGCTTCGGCTGGCCCTTTGACCTTTCATCTTTACTGTCGTGAATGGTCATTGGAGCGTTAGATTGGTGGTTTAAAAAACTTAAATGAATTGGCTATTTGCCAAACAAATGCAACAATAATAGATTATTTCAAGTGAAATTGTATAATTATAAGAATAATGGTTGTCATTTATTTGTAGGCTACTGGTAAATTATGAATTGGGAAGTGAGAAATTAAAGTTTACCAGCCTTTGGTCAATTGAATTACCCTGGAAAGTCTTAAGAAACTGAACTGAAACCAGGTCACATTCTCATATGAGTGTTGCAAAACCACAGCTGCTGAAAGTGCAGTGTGTTGTGTTCATATGTTTGTGTGAACTGTCTTTATAGCAGACTCAATAGGAGTGTCGCCGAGGTGCCCTTGAGCTCCCCAGGTGCTTGTAGCTACTGCAGTAGCAGATACTACATTTCACTGGGTGTAGTGCTGAGATGCTGTGTAGTCGTTAAATAGTGTAGCAGCCAAAATCATATAGGATTTGATTTCAATCCTTCATTTTCCCATTTCCTCTATTCCATTGTCAGTGTATTGGGCTATTATTGCAAGGTTTTGGGTTAAGGCTACTCCAGTGATGCATTTGTCCATAGCAGGAGTGTTAGCATAACTAACAGTCAGAGTGGAGACATTTCTTTGAGTGCCAGATGGAGCCACAGTTTTTCTATGTGTACATTTATTTTGTTAGAGAACAGCATTTTTATTTTGATGGAGTGATTATACATCACAATAAATAGAAATAACACCAACCCTTTGCTTAATTTAAAATATTTATTTCAGAGAAGAACATAATTCACAGAATAATCTGCATTAAAGTGCTGATCTGAAACCAGTCTTTCAGCTTTTTGGAAATCTCAACAGAGATACAATTAATCATCTGCCCTAATGCTCTGTGAAGTACATACATGTGTTTAAAATCATGGATTTTTCAATCACATTAAGTGGGTTTTGTTTTGTTTTATTTTATTGATACTGCATGTGAAGAATTTAAGAATTAAAAAAATACAGATAAGGAGCATTTCCAGATTGCTGTCCCTGAGCTTCAATGGATTACTGTACTTGTAATAGTTAGTGCCATGCTTTTAAGATGAAACTCTTACATCCTTATGTAATCAAGTTAAATCAGTCAGGGATCAGAGGAAGACAGGAGAAATGGCGTTTTCATCATCATCGAAGAGTGATCCCTGCAGTCTGCCACCTCTGTAGAACTGGCGGATGTTCCGTTTGGCAGGCGCAGACACATACCACATGACCACACCTGTTGGGTTCACTGACACCACGAAGCTAGTGGAGTCTTTCAGCGTCATGGTCTTCTCCGTGAAGGCATCATAGATCTGAGAGTGAGAGTATACGAGAAAAAGTGATTTTCCTGCTGAATACATCCTCACTGTGTTAACAAAATGTAAAATAAAACTGGTAAAATGTATTTGTATGGATCCAGCGGACCACAACCGTAGAATAAGTGCACATCATCACAATCAGACAAATATCACCCATAAACAAAGTGCTAACATTGAAGTTGCTGTAACAACAGTTTTACAGTTCAGATCAGACATAAAGTTTTAATGGCAGGAGTGGTTACAGTGGTGGAAGTTGAGAATACCATGTTCTTGGTCTTATCTACATTAAAAAAGAAGTTGGTAAAATAATTGATAATTGTAAATCATCAAATGCAGACTGTGGCAAACCATGTGGCATATCAATTGTATTCTCTGCATAAAATGTTAATTATGTATAATGTAAATAGAAGTGGACCAAGATAAATCCCCTGTGGCACCCCATTAGAGACGGTAAGAGGGCTTGACTTCTGTGGCTGTAGTAAGTTTCAAGTGTAGCATTATTATTATTATGTACTTTTCTTTTTATCAACCATAGCATTATATTGTATATAGTAGTGGTCTGATGAGTGGGTACCACAGACAAAGAAGAAAATAGATATAGGACATAGATAGATAAAATGTTCAGGTGTATTCTAATCTAGAAAGTAAAAAAGTGATGGTGCTGAAATTATCAACAAATGGAATGCCAAGGGCCAGATGTTCAATTAGCAAAAACAAACCTGGTAGCTGCCTGTGGTGTAGTTGAGTTTGCTGAGGGAAGTCTGGTATCGGTAGGGCATGTCATTACGACGACTGAAGAAGACCAATGCACTGGCATTTTTTGACAGTGGGCGCCAGTACACATCAATGCCACTCTTCTCCTGGCAGACAAAAATGAAAGAGAAATTGTTAACAATGACACCAAGGATGAGAAGTTATTTATATGTAAAAGGTCTGAGCAGCTAATATCAGTTTGTTTCCCCATTCTGATCACTTGCAAGAAGCTGAAAGGACCCAGCAAAAGAGTGTCACCTTTAAAATGCGCCTTCCTTGGATGCCCATGGGATCCTGATTGATGCCGATTGCAATTTTGTTCTGCAAGATGCTGCGGGCCCCACTGTTGATGGTGCACAAGTCATTGGACATAAAAAGAGGAGCAGCCATAATCGCCCAAATAGCCATCTGAGACCGAGACTGTTCCATGCTGAGGCCAAAGTTACCAGCAATCAACTGTGGAAGTCAAAATTACACAATCAATAGAGGATAAAACAAGTGTTCATACCTGTAGCTTTTTAACTCATAGTACTGGTTCTTCCTGACCTAATTAACAGACTGAATAGAAAATAGTAAACAGTAAATATGTTATATATTAAACAGTTGAACAAACCATATCAGGGTCGTTCCACTTTCCAGGTCCAGCTGCAGATACCAGGACATCTTGGTTTTCAAAGAACCAGTTAATAATGTTCAGCACACTGTCCCAGGAATCCTGGATGTCACCATAGTTACGCCACAGGTTGCAGATCTCACCCAACTGTGTGTAGTTTACCTAAAAACAAAATTCAGTTTCACAAAAAAGTGAATCAATGATATTTGGATTTAAATTATTACAACAAATTCCTCAAAACAGTCTACTTCCACTGGGGATATTTTCAATGACCTGAATTATGTTAGACTTTGAGATGATTATACCTTAGGTGGTAGGCCTCCCTGGTAGGCAGGCCAACTGCAGGAGTAGCCAATGGGACGTCCAGTGGCATTTAAAGCCTTTGACATTAGAGGGTAACCTGTCCAAGAGAGGAACAACAGTCAAATCAAGTCAGCTTCATCTCATTAAATACGATGTAAAGGTCCCTTCTTCGTCTCTTACCCTGCTCTTGCTCTGTGGCGTTAGAATAACAACCATCAAATTTAAACATATCCACCTCCCAGTCGGCAAAGGTCTGAGCGTCTAACTCTATCTTGTCCAGTGTTGTCCCCGGGTAGCCCCCGCAGGTGTGTGTGCCCATGTCCCCGTAGATGCCCAGCTTGAGACCCCTGTCATGCATGTAGCGTGCCAGTTTATGGATGCCTCCTGGGAATCTGAAGGAGTGCAAAAAAGGGCAGTTGGAACGATATACCAATTACACAGCGTACAGTCTCAGGCACTCCTTTTTTAATATAGTAAAGAAAATATTTACTTTATAGATCCAAATTGGGAAATTGTTTTGTCAAGGCAGCATGTAAACAATGCATTGCACATTAATCAAATATTAAGATAAACTGTGAAATAAACACAAAAAGCAATTATTTACATATTTACAGTACAAAATAAAAAAACAGTAAATATATACATAAGTACAGAGTAGCTCTATAGAATACGAAATACAAACATACAAAATATTCAAACTAAAGTATACACATATACAAATTTAGTATACACATTGAAGTTAGTATACACAATTGAAGTAAGTACACAAAAAAAGTACATCAAACAAAAATAAAATCTTACTAAAAACATAGTGTTATGCCTGAACCAATACGGTATAGCATATTTTCCACTCAAATAGTGAATCTCTAAATTGGCAAAGCCTACAGTTGTTCATTTTAAGCTTATAAGTACTATATCATTGTTTTTTGTGCTTTAATATGTTTGTTTTTTAACCTCCACATTTCATCAATGTCTTCTTTGTACATATGCTGGTGCTGCATATAATAACTTATATACCCCGCAGAGTTGTGAAACTACTGACTACAAATGAACAACATTTTCAGTCACATGATTGCATTACTGTCACATTGTAATCACCTTGTTGTACTGTTTTATTGACTTACAAGCCATAAGTTACAGATTAATATTTGCACTGAGGAAACAGCTCCTGTGTGTGTGTGTGTGTGTGTGTGTGTGTGTGTGTGTGTGTGTGTGTGTGTGTGTGTGTGTGTGTGTGTGTGTGTGTGTGTGTGTGTGTGTGTGTGTGTGTGTGTGTGTGTGTGTGTGTGCACACTGCACCGTTACCTTTTGGGGTCAGCCTGTAGCCGTCCATTGTCGTCTCTCTTCATGGAGGACCAGCAGTCATCTATGTTCACATACACGTAGCCCAGTTCCCTCCAGCCGTCCTCAGACAGTCGGTCTGCCATTTCCATGAACAGATTCTCACTGGAGGGAAGACAGAACAGCTCATTACGTGTGAGGTAGAGTAAACACATCTTAAAAGCAAATGTAAAATAATAATATCATAAAACTTGTTCTCCTGTAGTTTGTGAAGTTATTTTTGTACAAATAAGTGGTTTGGCTAATGAATTGCACTCATTCTTACAAAAAAAAGGTTCTCAAGCTTAAAGGTGGGGTAGGTAATTTTGGAGAAACCAGCTCGAGTGCATTAGAATTTGAAAATACACAACCGGAAAAAATCTGCCACTTCCTTACAGAGCCCCTCCTCCAACACACACGAATGCGCACATGACCAATGAGGGCATGAGACAAGTTTGTGCACAGATGGAAGGCTGACAGGCAGTTAGGCCATCCAGTTATTTTAGCCGGGCCGGATTGGTCGTGCTTTTTACAGCGCTACGGCATCCACAGATGACATTTTCTATGTATTTATTGTCAAAGCATTTAATATATTCATTGCCATCGGGATGTTAAGAGCATTCCATGGAATATAACAAAAAGTGTTTGTGAAATAAATTACATACCCCACCTTTAAGAATAAACACATTTTGACATTTAAAATAATATAAATTCTAGGAAAATGGAAATGTTTGAAAGCAAATGTATTTTTCCACTAAACTGTTTTGGTTTCCCGGAGCCCCACATCAAAACTTAAATATGATGGTTGTAGTAAAATAACACAGACAGGAAACCATTCTTCTGATTGTTCAGCAGCAATGTCTGCCAACATGCTACATTTTAAAATAAGTTATCATATACAGAAGAAGTATATAAGTGCCGGTTCAGGGTGGCTTATCGGAATGGACGGAATTTCGATAATGCAAAAGTTGGTGACAAGGTGAAATAACCCCTGCTTTTAAAAGGAAAGCTCTAGTGAAATCACAGTGTGCTATATTAATATTATGTAGGCTTGCCTGATGCAGTTCTTGGGGTCGTGGTCACAGTCGATGTCACAGCGGTATCGTTCCCATGCCAGCCAGCCCATGGGAGGGACCCTCATCACTCCATTGTCGAGGGCGAAGGTGGCCACAGAGAGCGAAGACACAAATAAAAGCTCCGCTAAATGCATAACTGCAGAGGAAAAGGGATAGGTTGAATCAGATGTTAGTTTGATGGATGACATCACAGTTAAATGTGTTCTGAATGCCTCGTGAAAGGTTTTGCTGCCTGCGTATTCATGTCCTGCAGCAAAACAATTGTGTTGTTGTTGAAGCATTTCCTTTAAAGCTAAGCCAAAATAATACTGTCGTAAGGTTTTTATCTTCTGTAAGACAAATTACAAACATCTCTCACACACGCCCTGAGTCTCACATGACTCAGAAGGTGTGCTATTGAAGCTTCAACAACCTGTCAGGTGACTTCTCCTACCGTCCAGTCATATCATCTAAATCAGTGGTTCTCAACTGGTGGGTCGCGGGCCCGTTTCGAGTGGGTCGCAGATTTAAATATAATTAAATAAGTATGTGAACATAACCAATAACCTACCATAGCCAATAACAAATACATGTAACGTATTTTAGCATATTTTTTTATCTCTCCAGTTTAAAACGATATGTCTGGTTTACTGTCCTATAATTATAAAGGAGTGCCTTGGAAATATGTGTTTACATAAATTGTGATCAAAACGTTTGAGACCCACTGAGATAACTTAGACTAAAGTGAACTATCTAACACTCAGAGTCCTTTACCTCACTGAGCTGTAGTTATCAGCCTCTCAGTCTGACTGGAGAGGACTCTCCCTCCACATCATTGTAGAAACATCTTCTTCTTCCGTTAGAGCAGCTAGCACCAGATGCTAATAACAACAGCGCCCTCCCTTTCTCCCACGCTCACTCGCACTTTGGCTGTGAGCTGCGGGTGCCAGATAAGCCAACATCCCCTATCTTCATCACTTACAGCGCCCATCGTACAGGGCAAATAAAAAGTGTAACCGGAATGAAAAAGGTGTTACATTTACTTAATTATGAATGTTGTTACATCAAGGCCGAAAATTAGGATGAGCACCAACGGTCAAAACATTTTTTTTTTCTCCCAGAGCTGTCAGCGCAGCGCCTCCACAGATCTGGCGCCCTAGGCGGACATCTATAACGCCAGTGCGACGGGCCGGCCCTGGTCTCAGGTTACGCTGTAGGAAGTGTAGGTACAACGCTATATTTCCCGCCCCGCCGCAGTCATACAGTAGGCTACGGAGAGCGGCGAGAAACATTTCCTCAGGCATCGAAAAGCGGAACCGAAATTCACATGTCTAAATGATGCCTTTGGAATCGAAATGTTGTACCCAACCCTACACAAGAGCTTAAATCAAACAAGCGACCTTGTATTTGAAAGATTAACTCACATAGCAACAGTCGCACCTGGTATAAAGTGGTGTGGCTGTGGTGTGGCTGAGTACTTTAAAGGGGACTTGAATGTGAAATAAGAACAAGAAAATAAAAGTCTAAATGCATGAAAAAGCAGCAGAATATTTGAACTGAAAACTTTAGAACTAAAAGCATACGTCACCAATAATGTTTAAAATATGTGGAACATGTTGAAGTCAGTATGAAGTCTCCATCAGATGGAAAAGAATAGTCTGAGACAGTCTGTTAAACTCCAGTGACCACGTCATTAGTCTGCTGCTCTAATTATGTCAATTGGAGTTATGACAGCATCGTGTTCCATGACACAGGTGTTTATATTTGAGCTAACGACGTGTCCAGAGATCAAAGGTTTCCATGGTGATCAGTGAGAGGAGAGCACTTTCATTGTTCTGAATGAGAGATAAACCTGTTACATGTGAACGTTTTGTTGAAGAACCGTAACAGATATCGGTGACATTTCAAAGCGTGAAGCATGTCAAGGAACTTGAGCATCTGAAGTGTACTTTTTGTGTACTTTCGGGTTAATAATGTGGGCTTTTTGGCAGATTAACTAAAGGTGTGCGGCTGCTATGGTGGGGAAAGGTGAGGCTGAACTTGCAATGGGTTTTAATGGAGACATGTTGAAAGTTGTTGTCACTTCATGCCCTCAAGAGGCATTTTGTTTAATTATTTTGCTTATTTTTTTTATCTTTCCAGCTACGAAATGTTTTCCTACGTTTGTCATGAAAAATGATGTCTCAGGAATGTAGGGTTTGGGAATTATGGCAGGTTTAAAAGAAAATATGAAGGCAAAATGAAATCTGTCCTCCACTCTAGCTGTGACATCACGCACTCTAAAATCTGAAATAGGACTCTTTACCAAGGTCTGAACAATGTTTAATATCTCTAAAAGTAAGAATCAGATTTAAAAGTTGTGTTACACGAATAATGGCAGAAAGATGTGTAATATTTTAAAGTTGGAATGAGGTTTCTGAGTGAAAGTATGAAGGAGCAGTTAGCAGTTGAAGAAGGAGCAGTTAGCAGTTGAAGTTGCATGAAGATTGTTGAAGTCTGAAGAGTTTCTCCATTGACTTCCATGATAACAAATGTGATGTATTATGGGATGTATCTCTGGAATTATGAAAGTTGTGAAGGATAAAAGTAATAGCCATCTATTCCCGACCGAGCTGAACGTTTTGAATTTTGAACTGAGTTTTTGTGATGTTCAATGTGGGAGAAGTGGCGCAAAATAACCCGGCGGAATAATAAAGAATTTCGTGCGTAGCATAACAAATAGTTGGAATGCTGTGTCAGCATTCCCACTAAATGAACACATAATGAAATATGACCCCCGGTTTGATGATTGACAGGTCACAGAACAATGGGAGCTATCTACCCTTACCCACAATTTAAAGTAATTCACACAAACTATCTCCTCTTTGCTCTTCTCTCTGTGAGGAGCAGCAAGTTCAGCTGTCAGAACAAAGTGAAAAACAAACAATGGCATCAAATATTATTAATAGGTCGGGTAGTATAGATTTATTTATTTTATTCTCAGAGTGTACCAGAATGCGTAGTTTATATGTTAGTATTTCTAAAAATCTCCTGGGGGACAATCCCCCCCAGACCCCCCTTCTAGGCTTTGATTCCATCATCTCATTAAACCTTATTTAAAAGCATTTTTTTGTTCTGTGAAGGGATATATGCACTGTACTTCACTTTAATTAATATTGTATGCTGAAAAGCATATATATTACAGCACCATTTTTTATTGAATAGATTTGAGTGGTTTAAATTTCGGGTCGCGATTTATTGACAAAGGAAAAAGAGGGTCCCGAGGCCTGAGGCCTGTACGACGAAGCCGGTTCAACATAACCTGGATATGTTTGAGTTAGACGGTTGGCCTAATCCAAAACATACGCGCTCTCGCTAAGTGGTCCTACGACGCGGGTTATCAAGTGGATCGCTCAAGCCAGCCGTGTCCTATCTAGTTAGGTGCGCGTTCACATAAAAGGGGTGGTATTTGGAGCGATCGACCAATCACAAACATGGACAAGCCGCGTACTGACAGCGCAGCGCGTCATACTTCCTGAGTGAAAAGTCAACAATAATATTAGACAAATATGAAGACGTTAAACTTTAAACATCCATGACTTAAACACTTTATCCAGGATAAAAGCCACATAGTTGCACCTGCAAGGTGAATACAGCTGGTAAAAGAAAAAGTGTTTGCGTTCATTAACAGTTTTATGATATCACTGCTGCCTAGCAGCAGTGACTAGCTAAGACACTAGTGGATCTGACTTTAATTACATTTGACTCGAGTGTTTTGTCAACTTAATATGTTGCTTAAAATAATACTTCTGCATACAGTATGTGACACTGAGTGTCACACGGCCAGATACGGCTCAAGAAGCTGACTCAGATAAGGAAATATATGATACATTATGATGTGATATCATGTGATGTGAAGCATTCGGATCCAAGCAGACGGAAGGAATGAGGTATTTGCGGTCTACAATGACAGAGAAGAGACTGTCAAGTTTGGCTGTACTAAGCATTGAATCAAAACGCACTAAAGCTGTTGATCTTAATCAGTTTGTGAGGCGTTTTGCTGAACAACATGGTAATCGTGGAACTACCATTCAGCTGTAATAGGCATGCCAACTTGATGCTCTGCTCTGGATGACTCGATGAGCATAAAAAACTGTTAAGATGATGACCTTGTATGCAGTACTCAAGTTGTAAAAAAAAATTAGGGGGGATGGTGGATTTTATCATATGGGGACATAATTTGTGCTGATAACCCGCCGAGGATGGGAGACCTACCAGCATAAAGATAATTATTATACTCCTAAAACAACATGCATGTTATGGATGTTCAGATACTCCTTCCATTGCTCTTGACCAAGTCACCTCATTAGAGTAGAATAACATTTAGGGTCAAATGCAGAGGACAATTAGGGCAAAATATTTGTTTCACTTTAATTTAAAGGGGGGGAGGGAATACAAAAATGTGGTTGTGAAGTTAAAACTTCTTTGCAGCAATGTTGAGCCAATCATGAAATGAGTGAAACTGGATTCGCCTGTCAATACACTGATATTTATTGAGAGCCTCAGCGGCCGGAGAGTTCACAGCATATCACAGTTCTCCTGTAAGATACCAGCAAACTCTGAACATTAAAAGCGCCAAGCACCCATCTATACAAAGAGAAGAGGAGGGCCCTAAAACACGCGGGTTTTCCTTTAATGCATGCCAGATGTCGAGACATAGACTCGTTGCATTGTAAACCCACATGAGCCAAGCTTCTCCCCCACAAGACATCAGATGACCTCTTGACCTGTGTCTTCCTGAGAAGCTATGGATCACATTACAGGCAGGAATACACTTTAACCATTAAACAGATTCCCGAGGACAAATCACTAAACTCTATATACTTTAACAAGACCAAAATATTCCTTTACAGTGGTTATAATGAAGTATATGGTACAAATCTTGTAGGTTAACAGTCCCTCATTTATTATTCAGATGGATCAACTGATTATACTAATAATAAAGTCAAAATAGTTTTTAGAATATTGAATTATAGTGTATTTTTTCAAAAAAAGCAGTTACTGGTATACGATCAAAACTGGTATCTAAAGGGTTACATTTGTATCGTAATTAATTAAATCATTATGTAAATTCTTCATGACATTTTTTAGGAACAGGGCATTAAGTGCAAATTGA